TCTAGCTGCATAGATGAGATCATTCGTAAATCACGAACTGACATAGCATATTGCCATGTAGATTTGTTATTTCTACCTCGAAGATACACTTCTGTTTAATCTTTGGGTACCTTTTTTAGGCCTGCTTTTAGTTCGTAACCTTCTTGCAGCTTACCTGTAGAACACTATGAGATGTCTCCAATAATTAACTTGTTCTGTTTGAAGGATTTACCACGATTCACAATCTAGCTTAGTCAAGTTAAGCTCGAATTAATTAATTAAGTGGAACAAAATACTATAATGTCAAGAATGGGAAATAAATTAATGCACACATGCAATTGAAAAAGTAATTGAAAAATGAGTTGATGACGTGAACAAATAAATTTTTTATAAATAATTCACTATCCAAACAAATAGTGCCTTGAGTAGTTTTTTTTTTTTTTTTTTTGATAAAATAAGCGTAGCGCTGCATCTCGTCCGTCCATAACCTTTCTCTTCTTTCCTCCAAAAATCTCCCCAAAAACAAAAAAGGCAAAACCCCATCCTTCGTTTTCTTTCCAAAAGTGTCAGTCCCAAACTAGCCCTTAAGCCTAGGGTTTAAGCCCGCCACTCCGACCAAATTCCACCATAACGGCACCAGCAGCACCACCACTATGAAACTAACTTCACCCGTGATAATCGAGAACGCCCACGACGACTCCATATGGACGGCCACGTGGACACCAGCCCCAGAAGATTCTGCCCCTATCCTACTTACTGGATCGCTCGATGAAACCGTTCGGCTGTGGGACCCCAAAAAGGACAGTTGCATCCGGACTAACACCGGCCACTGCCTCGGCGTTGTCTCCGTCGCCGCCAATCCCTCCTGCAGAATGGCAGCCTCCGCCTCCATCGATAGCTTTATTAGGGTTTTTGATGTTGCTTCCAATAATACCATTGCCACCCTTGAAGCTCCCCCTTCTGAAGTCTGGCAGTTGCAATTTAACCCTGAGGTATAAAAAAAAAAAAAAAAAAGAACGGCCCTGTTCTTTCGGAGTAGATTTTTTTTGTTTTTACTTATTTTGGATAATAATGCAAATAATCCAATTTATATTTTATGAAGTATTTTATTAGTTTACAGATTGGATAATGCTAAAGTTGGAGTAGGACCTAACTTTTCTTTTTTTTATTATTATTATTATTTTGGAAAATGTGGTTTTTCGTTTACCATTTTTTTTTTATATATAATGAGCATTTTTAGCTTAGAAAGTCTGCCTATAATGTTTTTAGTTCTCATAAAGCTGTGTCAGCTGTCAGAGCTTTACTTGTAATTTTAGTTGATTGCAAGTGAAAAGGTGAATAGTACCAGAGTCGTATTCAGAACTTAAAAATGGGGGATTCTAGGGCATGCATGACAACTATTGAAAAATTTCAAATAGTTCAGGCATATGAATTTGAATTTGAGGAAATTAACCATTATTAACATGTGAAACCGCAAATATAATGTATTACTTCACGTAGTGCAAGAATGTTGTGAGAGGTTCACCTTTTCTTCTTTTGAGGGAAATAAATGAATAGAGCAAAATCAGGTTTTATGCTGGTTTATAGCTTTAAATGTTTCCACAAGAATTGACTTAAAAAAGAGAAAAGCCTGTGTAAGAGATTTAGATGAAGTGGAAATTGAGGCAGGAAGTTACCTACATGGCTCAACAACAATAATGCAATGAGGACTCTAGATTTCAGGGTACCTGTAAATTGGCTTTCTTTTCTACAGAGATTTCTGTCTAAGCTAGTTCATGCTTCCCATAGCCACATTACAGTTTTGTTTGTTCCTATACACTCTTTGCAGTGTCAGCCTTCTCTTGCAGTAGTATTACTTTTGTTGATTTCGCTTATTGTCTTTAAACATGATTTCTGGCTAGACACAGCATATATGTGTTGAATCTGCCTTTGGTATTATATGTCAATGTGTTTCAAGCTAATTTGAATTTGTTGGGCTACTCCCGGAACGATTATAAAGGCTGAAGAGTCTAACAAAGCATGCTACAGAGCACTTCTTTTTCTCTGTCCCTTTGTGTGTGAAAGAGAAGGACAGATGAGTTTTAAAACAAAATGGAGCTTTTTATTAAGCAAGTGTAGCAATATCTAGATTTAACTGCTTGTTCCTGAATATTTGGCTATCATACTTTCTGTGAGCCTAACTTTTTGTTTCCCAAGTTTATTGTAAGTAGACAACAGATCTTAGAAACTAGTGTTTTTTGTCACATTGGGGCTACCAAAGGCAACGTATATTTGCATATAATGTAGCCCACAAAACTTTTAGTATATCATTTTTTTTTCAGTTCTCTTAAGAAGAAGAAAACTCATTGTAGTCTCATGTAATGGCATTTTAAAGAAAGAAGTTCATATGTTATGCTTGTTACCTGCTTATGCTAATTTATGCATGTGATATATGCATTCTTCGTATGTGTGGACTATAAGAAGTTGAGGTTTTGCTTTCTCCTTTGATGGCTAGTATTAGACATTGCAACATTAAGCAAACTTACTTTCTCGTCAGTTATGGTTTGCTTGTCGTCTTTTTGACCTTTGAGTAATGTCTTTATGTTGAACCCATAGTTACATTGCTTGCATTATCATCTTACCTGCTGCCATTTCCTTGGGTCTGACTAATAGTTGAGTAATTTGTTTTATATTTGGCTATTTAAATACTCAAAAGGAAGTAAACTTGGCGCCAAGTTAGTGCATTATAGGACATTTGATAGCCCAATTGCTGTGGCTACACCTGGAGAACCCTTTTAGCAGCTTTTTGATGAAATGAACTTCGTGACCTTTAGGAAAAGATTCTTCATGCCATGATTTGGCTATTGCAACCAATTGTCTTAATATGGCAAGATGTTGCCACTGGGTGGATGTTAATGTGGGGGGATATTAAGTGGATCATTTTCATTGATTGATTTCTTTCTTTTAGCTGCTATTTGTTACAAACTCAAGGTCATATTTCTTTAAATTCACGGCACATTCAAGACTCGTGAGTATTATTTGCTTTCTTCAAATGTTTGGGTTTTTCCTTTCCGTCCTTGGTCCTTTTTCTGTTTGCCCTTGTACCTTGCTAGCAATTCCATGAAGGTATCATCAGTTGCTGCCTTAAGATGTTTATCAGTTGTTGCTTTCTTAACAAGCACCAGGATCACTTAGCTTTGCACCGTTTCTCCTTGCATCTTCAGGGCACAATCTTAGCTGCAGCTGGAGGTGGCAGTGCCTCAGTCAAGCTGTGGGATACAGTTAAATGGAAGGAGATAGCTACATTGTCAATCCCTCGTCCCGAAGGTTTGAAGCCCTCTGATAAAAGTGGCAACAAGAAGCCTGGAGCCTTGATGGAAGACACGTTGCTTGTGGTTCAATGGATGGAACCATCTCTGTTTTTGATGTAACACGAGCCAAATTTCTACATCACCTGGAAGGTCATTGCATGCCCGTTCGCTCCCTTGTATATTCACGTGTTGATTCTAGGGTACTATTCTCTGCTTCAGATGATGGCCATGTGCACGTGTATGATACTGAGGGGAAAACCTTGATAAGTACCATGTCGGGTCATTCAAGCTGGGTGTTAAGTTTGGATGCTTCTCCGGATGGAGCAGCAATTGCAACAGGCTCAAGCGACAAGACGGTTAGGCTGTGGGATTTGAAGATGAGAGCGGCTACACAGATACTTTCGAACCACAATGATCAGGTTTGGGCGGTTGCATTTGGACCACCAGGGTCCTCTCTGCTTGCAAGTGTATCTGATGACAAAAGCATAGCATTTTATCAGTACTCTTGAGAATTGATTTTGCTCAAAGCAAGGAGGATTGAAGCTTTATGTTAGTTGTTGAGTCCGCTTCACGTCGCTTGCTGTGATGATCAGATTGTATCATTAATCATATAGTTTGATATCCCAAAATTTTAGCTAACAAAATACAAATTCACTTGTGCAACCCGCGTAGCATCTCTTTCATTTATGCCCCGGCAACTAGGCGCCTTAATTCTGTCCTCGAATTTGGCCAAGGTTTTGCCATTGGGACGGGATAACAAGATAAACCCGTCATACAAAGAACGGCACCAGTCAAATTCTTGCATTTCTTCTAACGTAATTTGGGAACTTTGATATGTCATAAGCAATCGGGTTGGAGTAAATTTAGCGTCAGTTATGCTTACCTTCATTATTTGGACCGATTGAAACTCATGCAACCGAAAATTACTACTGTCTGCAAATTTCCAACTCAACGAGTTTCAGGCAGTGCCCCACTAACAAAGGAGAGCCACATCTATTTAATTTCACAAATCACACCCCACTTCTTAGTTCTTGTTTCCTACAGTTGTATAATCGCTCCACAACAGCTGTCCCTCCACAATATCCCAAACACAGCGGAATGTCACATTGGATGCCTGTTCTTTACCTTAAAAGACAGGACTTCCGCAAAGCTTTAAGACCGAATATGCTATTGCCGGGTCCTTTCTCATTAAAGAATTCCACATTATGGTCCTTATCTACTAGTAGTCGCTACGAAGGACAGCATGCACGTGAAAAATATGTACCAAAAAAAAAAAGGAATTCCACGCTAGGGTCCTTTTTTTTTTTTTTTCCGGACAGTTGTTAATAGTCTATTTTATATTTACTCCTACTTTAATCTATTTCTAAGGGAGGGCTCAACTGGACCAATGAGTAGATCGACAAAAATTGAATCACTATCGGATCAGACGAATGCACAACATATCTATCTGAATTTTTTTAAAAGTCATTTACTGTAGTATTCAGTGAGTGAGAGGCAAGATTTTAACCTGGTGGAGATCGATACTACTACAGATTTGAACGTGGTGGAGATCGATACTACTAGTAGTAACTACGAAGGACAGCATGCACCGCAAATGCATTGTCCGTCAGCTTACTACGATCCTTGGGTGCAGCCTTTCACTAGCACATAGCACTAAACCATTTGACTACAGATCAAAGTGCAGATCTCTAAATAAGTCGCTACAAATCTCCAAACAAAAATTTTAGTTTACTGTCCGTAGACTGGATTAAGAACAAATTAAACTATCCACCCCGCCATTATTCACCATCAACGCCACAATTTACCGTACTAAACTTCACATATTTAATATCTCACATATTAAAAGTCCATTAATAAGAGAAACTGTACCTCACTAGTTCAGAACTAGAAGGAAAAACATATGACACGCATATCCTACTCCTACTAAGAAGCTCTACCATCTAAGTAGTTCTTCAAAACATCCATGACAGCCCCAAAATCAGATTTCACTTGCACAGGAGGATTCGCTAAACGGCAAGACATGTCTTTGATCTGTCTAGAATGATAATCAATCTTGGACTGAGTAAATTTCAAACCGTGAGCAGTACTCACCACAACAGTTCTATCAGTCGGACCAATAATTCCACTCTTCCTCAGCTTAGTCAAAGCTGTTAATGCAACTCCAGTGTGCGGACAAATAAACATCCCAGTAGAATCAGCCAAAGCCATAGCATCCATCAATTCCTCCTCGGTAGCCTCCTCCACAATCCCATTTGAATTCTTCAAAGCAAAAACAGCTCTGTCAATCGAAACAGGGTCGCCAATTTGAATAGCAGAAGCAAAAGTGGTGCTAGCCCTCACTGGCTGAAACTCCTGCCACCCTGATTTATAATACAAATACAAAGGATTTGCATTTGCAGCTTGTGCACAGACAAGCCTAGGAATGCGATCAACCAACCCCAATTCTTGGCACATGTTGAACCCTTTATAGAATGCATAGATATTCCCTAAATTCCCGCCGGGAACTATAACCCAATCAGGCACTTTCCAGTCAAACTGCTGCAGAATTTCAATGGCAGCCGTTTTTTGTCCTTCCAGCCTCAAACTATTCAATGAATTCGCCAAGTATATAGGTAACTCTGAGGTGACTTGACGTATCAGTTTCATGCATCCATCGAAATCAGTATCAATACTGAGCACAAATGCACCATTTGCTATGGGCTGAACCAACTGCGCCATGGAAATCTTATTAGCGGGCAGAAAAACAATGGACGGAATATTCGCAGCCGCGCAATAAGCCGATAAAGCCGCCGAGGTGTCGCCGGTGGAAGCACAGCCCACCCCAACCAAAGGACGTTTCATTTTTCGTAACCTGTTCACTTGACTAACCAAAACTGTCATGCCCAGATCCTTAAAGCTGCCCGTGTGGCTAATCCCGCAATGCTTCACCCACAAATCATTCATATCTAGATGTACTTTTCCAAACCGCTCAGCCCAGAAAAGATTGGTATTTCCCTCGAATGCACTGACAATATCATCGTCTGAAATTTCAGGCAAAACCCACTCTTTCTTGGACCAGACACCCGAACCGTAAGGCCACGTCGTTTTGCCAACGCGGGAGTCAAACAAAGACCTCCAGTATTGACCGTCGAATTGTTTCAGGGCGGCCATGTCATGCTGCACATCAAGAAGGCCGCCGGTGCGGCTGCGGTAGACGATTTCATCGAGGGAGTAGGATTCTGCGGTAGGGGAAGAGTCAGAGCTGGAGGTGATGGCAGTGAAGGGGACGTAGTTGGCAGAGAAGCTGAGGGACGTACTTGGAGGTGACGGGGCAGCGGTTGTGGGTTTGGAGAGGAATGAGTTGAACAGTGGTGAAGAAGCCATGTCATTTAGATGCCCCAGTTTAGTGCTTAAGGAGGAGAGCCGATTTTGGGTAATTGTGGGCTGAATTCGGCTTTGTTGAGAGGGTGGCAAGTGGCGGTTATGGGTTGGGGAGGAGGAGGAACTGAGGGCTCGTGGGGTCAGTGAGTGGGGGATTCGGAAGACTTTTTTTTTTTTTTTTTTTTTTTTGGTTTGATAATTGGAATGTAGACTTTTTATTGTGGCAGACGAAGACTTGCATGCAAGCCCTTTTTATCTTGTCATTCCTTTGTCCGAGGCATGATGGCGGCATAGTTTACACGTGTCACTTTATCTTCCGAGCCATGCTGGAGGCAGGTTTCACACTTGTCATCCTGTATGGACCAGGGAGTTGGACGGCCTTTCATTCTTTTAGGACTTCTATACTGATATTCAGTGCCTCAAAAATAGTGTTAGTATATATGCCAAATAACCGGAGGTATGAATCAGAGACGACGAACAAATGAGAACGGGACGAATGACTTCTTGAGGCTAGACACGAAACAAAGCTGGGAGTTGACCTTTTTTTGTCGATAGCATTTTCTCAGCGATGGGAAACTTTCTGATAAATCTCTCATACATCAACGAACTAGAAAAGGTACTTATGTAGGGTAAAAAAAAAATTTAGCCGTCATTAAATTATTATCCGTATCAACTTTTGACTATCAAATAATTTTTTATCATAAATTAGCTACCATATTAACTAATCAGCACCCTCACTGTTATTTTGTCGAATTTTGCTCTTAATTTATAAAATAATCAGAATTGTGCTTTGACCAAAAAAAATACCAGTGGTGGACAAACATACTCTTACATTTTGACATATGTTCTGATTATTATGTAAATTAAGAACAATAATCGAAGAAATGATCACGGGTATATTAATTAATTAGTTTAGCAGTTAATTTGTGATGAAATATTGTTTAATGATCAAAAGTCGACATGAACAATAATTTAATGGGCGTTGAGATTTTTTGCCCGTTTATATAAGACCATTAACTGACAAAATTCCATAAATAGTAAACTATCAAATCATACTAATAATAAAAAATCACAATTAAATAACAATGAAATAAGTAGTTTTTAAACAAATAAACTAGTCCTATAAAGACTTGGTTTAAACATCCTACAAACCGCGAATGTATTAATCGTACCATGCCCCATTTTGATGCTATATTCGTTTTATTCAAACCAATGGAGCTAGATTCATCTATAGGATAACCGTGCCGTGTCATATTACTATAAAGCTAGACTTGTTTATAAGGAGCTAGATTCAGTTGTAGAAATTTTTTTTATTATTATGATTATTAAATTTGTTCGTAGGAATTACTTACAGCGGAATTATTGTGCTTATAAACCTAGAATTAAGTTTGTTTGGATACCATTATTATTCCAAATAATATTTCGCTTGCATCATAAACACATCTTCCAACTCACCTTTTTATATTTCCAGTCAACTTTTTATCTCACATACATCACATCACAAAAAGTGTTACGGTAATTATTCCAAATAATATTTCAAATAACACTCTATCCAAATAAGGAAACAGAGACAATTAAGAAACGTTATTCAACCATTCAATATTCTCACCAATTGGCATGCTGCACCGTAAAAGGAAATAGAGCAAGAACAATCGCTAAAATTTTGTACGAAATTGAGCGACAAGACATTTTCCTGCTCCATTACTTTTTTTCTCTCATTTTCTTAAGCGAACTCAAGAATGCGTAAAGAAATCTAATCCTCGAGCAATGTTCAAAAGCCGGCAACTTTTGAAGGCACTCGAGGGACTTATCTACCCATCCCTAAACCCCCCAGTACTGATGTGGGAAAGAAACCCCCACAGGGGCAAGTCCAACTGGGCGGCCTCTACTAGGCCCTAACTAGGAACCCACCAACCCCCGTATGGCACCCCCATAATTGTTTTTTTTCTCTCATTTTCTTAAGAGAACTCAAGAATGCGTAAAGAAACCTAATCCTTGAGCAACCTTCAAAAGCCGGCAACTTTTGAAGGCACCCGAGGGACTTATCTACCCATCCCTAAATCCCCCAGTATCGATGTGGGAAAAAAGCCCCCACAGGGGCAAGTCCTGCTCCATTACTTGGTTCGGCAAATTTTTTTTTCTCTTGCCTTTGTGGGGCAGAATGATGATGTCCAGTTTAGGACAGCCCAGTCATGATTGCTGGGCATTTAATCCAAAGGTTACAAGTAAGAGGAGAAGGGAAAAAAAAAGAAAAAAAAGTTTCCAAGCTAGTTAATCCTCCATACGTGCATTTGCCTTGGACATAATTAAGGCTGACTAGTCAGTTAAAATACTAGGCTTTGAGACCCCACATTATTTGAGTGAGATATGGTTGATATCAATCCACCTGTAGGGCAGAGCAACTGAGAATCTTTTCCTGATAGTACTAATAAGTTACTAACTTATTATGACAAAAATTTTTTCACGGTAAGTTGGCAGAATCTACCAGCTATCGCAAGTTATTCTGCGAATAGGATTGATACGAAATATATAACATAAGCCTTGTCCAAAAAAAAAATGCCATACAGCTTGAGTAGTACTACTCTACGAGAATGTCAAATCTGTCATGTACATCCACAATCTTTCTCATCATACAATTATTCTGATGATCTCTTACATTGGTTGGACCAATGATTTAGCATCCAAGCTCCCAGTTATACAATCTTCTCATTATTCGTTCTGTTATTTTCTCTGCGAGGTTACATGCGGATCTGTGGCAGAAATATGCATTGGAAGGCTTTAAACTTTTTTTTTTTTGCTTTTCCATGTCTCCTCTCGTATGTTTGATGGCACAAAGTTAGGTAGTTTAACATCACCCGAGCTTCGACCGAAGATCATTCTCGTGGTTTGTTTGAAATTCCTTTGGGTGATTTGTTTCTTTACTCTCAAGCTCGGCCAAATGCCAGCTTACACCGAAAACATATTAACTTTGTTTGGATGGGAGTGTTTTTTAAAAATTAATTTTTTAAATACAATAAAAAATTTTAAAAAGTACTCTAAAAAGTAATCTAAAAATTAGTTTAAATTTTTTAAAATTTTAAAAAAATCTTAAAATATATTCTAGAAACTCTTCTACTCTTAAATATCCCAAAATATAATCTAAAAACTCTGCTACAGCAAAATTTTTCAAAAGCACCCCTAAAAACAGCTAATTCTATATTTAGGTCAATGTTTCCTGTGAATTTTTATTTTGGGTACTTGCTAATGTTCCATTCCAACTCAATAATGGAAATGGAGTAGAGTAAGCAAATTAAATGAGATCCGAGGCCCAATTCAAAACGATTTGTATACTTTTTACTTCATTTGGTGTAAATTGTTCTAGTTTTCGTGTAATAGTGTATTGTACACCAACTAAGTTGTATGAATTGATAAATTTATACTCAATTTTGTACGTGTTTATACTAAAAGTTGTAAGAATCATATCAATCAAATTCAACTTGATAGAACTCAACTTATGAGGTCATATCCAATTACACACTTACCCTATGCCGGTATATGTGGTCTTAGTAATCGTAGTGTTTTTGATGCACCAAATACTCTAAGTGGCCTAATTTTGAATAGCTGCATGTATCATGGGATACAAGGTAGAAGGAGGAATGAATTGAATAATATAAGAGTAGGAAATACAAATGAGAGATTTCGACTTCAAACAGCTGCCATCCATACTAAAATACTGTTTAATATGACAATTTCCAATTGTTCCCAAACTCCATATAATTTGTTGATGTGCACGAATTTAATTAATTGATGAAAGATTTCTCAAACAAGTTATAAGTAGAATTCCCTGTGACTTACCTATACATTTCACACTTGCTTTATTTTTCAAGGGATACCTGTATATAGTCATGGGACACATCACATTTAGGTGCTATAAAAACACTTCCTATTTATTATCCGTTTGAATTAACTATTTTTTGGGATGTTTTTAAAAAATATTACTATAGCAGTGTATATGCAAAACTTTTACTGTAAATATTTTTTGAAATATTTGACATATTATACGAATGAAATATTTTGTGAATTATTTTTATTTGTGTATTACTATAACATTATAGTTGAAAAACTTGTTTTTTTTAAAAAAATGGCCAATCCAAACAAAAGTATTTGAATTAATTAGTGAACTGTTTTTTTTTTATTTTTTTATTTTGGGGGTAAGGTACACACTAAGGTAAACAAGAATTTTAGCAAGTTACGAAACAACTTGTATGCTCAAACCTGATTGGTTCACGACAAAGTCAATGGCTTCTTTCTTAAAATTTCTTATTTTTTAAGTCCTAGTCAATCCAATAAAAAGAAAAGAAGTCCTAATCAATTTTATGACTGATATTCCATGAACATCCAAGAAAATTTGTGGGGTAAGAAGATGTATGTTTAGGAAGATTTGGGTGTGTCTTAGAATTTTGTTGGGCGACGAAGTCCTTCCCATCTCTCCCCGGAATAAAGGTAAATAATTTGTGCGCCATGACCGGAGGATGAGACTTGTCGGAAGACATTCGCCTGTAATATACCTACCTGAAATTTCATCTATATATCAAATCACCCAGCAGGTACTAATTTGTTCGCCGTGCATTTAACGTGCTAGGTCTGATTGGGGCGTCGGGCCGGGCCGGAGTGGGATTAGTCGGGCCGCCTTTACGGAATTGATCCGGACACCCACTTCGTCGACAAAAAAAAAAAGAAAAAAAAAAGGTACTAATTTGTTCGCCTGTAATTTGTTGGAAACATCTTTGTGATCTCCTGCAAATCAAATGGTTAACTTCAAAAGCAAGCTTAGGCTTTGGAGTAGAGCATAGACCCCTCATTTTCTATCATAAAACGGTTTTATTTCCCGCGAAAGTCTTATTAATCTAGCGAATAAAATTGAAACGTAAAGATGTTAGAGGTTCTGTTTAAAATTTTCCTTTCTTAAATCTCACTCATTCTTTGCTAAAAAAAAAATTAAAAGGGTTGTACTTGTTAATTAATAATTGTGGCCCAAATTTTTTAAATTAAAAACGGAAATACACTACTATTACTCGATTCAAAACAAAATCAAGTACGAGCATATGATATAAGAACATCATGAGATTCCTGTGGGGTGATTGATGTAGTAAGAACATGCATGATAGTGGTCTTGCATAC